GTACGTAATTTAAAAGCATTATATGTAACTACAGAAACTATAAGAACCAACTATAAAAACCTTTAGTAAATGGATGGTGTACGACAGTAGAATTCGTTAAATTGACATCAGCTACAATTTTAGGTTTAGTGTAATTATTCACATTTAATTCAACCCCTGAATAAAATAATATAATTATATGCTTATATGTTTACATTATATGTGTTTATAATTATATGCATTATATAATTACAAATTCTAAATACATAGATTAGACTTAATTTAACAATAAAATTAAATAATAACATTAACATTATTGTTTAGCAATAATACATTATTACTGATCGTTACCTTGTGTCAATAATCCTGTTGCAAGTACTTGGGCATCCTTCAGTGATAGAATATCACTTTCGTTTGTAATTGGCAGGTCAAGTTGCATGATATTATTATCCACTAATGACTGAGGAAAAGATAAGTTAACTTTTTCTTTCAATTTTGGTGGTTCCAGAAGTTTTAACGGCTCTTCATCCGATGTTGTATCATTATTGTTTGTGTAAAGAACACTTTTTTTGGTACGGGGGACTTTTAAATTTTCTTCGATACATTCATCGGTGGATGATATATCATCAGCTCGTCTACGGGCCTTGTCTAAAGTATCCAAAACACAAAATAGCACATATCATTACATAATGCCTAACATCAGAATTAAACATGAACACGGTTACTTCTGCAAATATTACACTAGTTTACAGTCAAAAATTATTTTGAACCAAACAAGGTGTTTCTTATAGATTTTTGGATCCTGAAAACAATTCCGCAAACCAAATTTTACCAGCACGTCTGGTTTCCAAAATAATTGAGGTTTAATATGTAAAAAATAAGATTTTTTGCAATATTTGATATTTTTTTGTAAGAAAGGTTAACGTTATCTTGAAATTCTGATCAGAAATCATGAATGTATTGTTCATCCCCTATAAAATGCATTTTTTAAATTTCGATATCTTACTTTTTAGCCATGTTATAAAGGATTAAATTTAGGAGCTATTTCTAATATGGGAACGCGCGCGCGCGCTCCTGAGGCTCCTAGCTTTAATCCTTCATAACATGGCATAAAAAGTAAGATATCGAAATTAAAAAAAATGCATTTTATAGGGGATGAACAATACATTTATGATTTCTGATCAGAATTCAAGATAACGTCAACCTTGCTTACAAAAAAATATCAAATATCGCAAAAAACCCCATTTTTACATATTAAACCTCAATTATTTTGGAAACCTGACATGCTGGTGAAATTTGGTTTACGGCATCGTTTTTAGCATTCAAAAATCTATAAGAAACACTTATCTGATTTAAATAATTAAAAAAAATTTTTTTTTGTAAACTAGTATTATTGAAAAATCTTACCATACAATCCTTCAAAGTTGATATCGTACAATGTCCATTTTTTGCTTTTGTCGAAGGTTTTGTTGATTTAGCAATGAGACGACGCACATCTTTTGCTTTGGGCCACCAACACTTTTTTCTGTCTGATGTTAGCCAACATTCAGGCACCTCTGATGTTATTTCATCAGAGCAATCTGAATCATCGTCGATGAATGAAACTACCGCAAATCCTGGCTTCAGGAGAAATTATAGGCGAATACGTAAACAGTATTTATTTATCGTGTAAATTTACAAAAATCAGAAGGAAAAGTGAGCTTATTGCAAAGGTATAGCGAATTGCAAAGGTATAGCAATTTAGATAAACGATAATACTATGAAACTATGAAAAATATTACATTTTAATTTTTCATACTTTTTCTTTGTTTCCGCCACTCATCTCGCAGTACTACTTTATCGTCTTCTAAGTTTTTATCACAATTTTTATTTCAAAAACCACGCATTTATTAGTCGCTCGGCCGAAAATATTGAATTACGTTTCCATGACTCCGGTAGTATGCGGTAGCACGTAGAGGGGATAATACACACAAGTGCGACCGCGTACATGTGCGCTCTGCGCAAGCACTGAGTCGCTAAGTAATTGAATAATGAGTTATTTGCATTAAGTGCTTTATAAAAATTATTTTGTTTGTTTAAAAATATATAATAAATACAAGTAATTGTTTATGCAAATACATGATTAGCATATTATTATTTATTTTAATCCTTGTGCAGTAATGTTAATACGACGAATGTCTCTTCATTAAGTGGTAGTGATACCAATTTAGATTTTATGCGACATAACTTAATTGTCAAAGGAACATTATCGTTTTTACATATAACTTTGATGCCTTTGTTGAATTACAGGGTTTTTCAAAAAAGAGGTTTACATGTTGCATATACGTATCCAGTTAGGTATATTTTGTTATTGTGAGACATGATTTTGTCTATTTCAAAAACATATCCATCGGTTAAAGTGCAAAATCCATCTTGCTTGTTATTTTTTTAAATAAAGTTCTCGAATTGGAGAGATTTTATCACTTTATTTGTAGTATTACTTGCACTATTAGTAACACCTTTGTACGATATTAATGGATATATCTTCTGTTGATGTTCTACACTTTTCTTTTGTAGATTTTCTTCGGTTATTCTGTTCACAAGTTGCTCTAGTGGCCTAGTGCAAGATTTGATTTTTTTTTAAGTTTTTGTAAGTGATTTTTGAACTTGAAAGCACTAAAGTTGTCTACGGGACCAAATAATGCCACATAGTATGGGAGACGTATCAAACTGTGTACATTGTATGAAACATGTTTTGCGCCATACAGAATAGGATACATTTGCACATAGTAGATTAGTAATTCCTGTGCATACTCGTGATAATGTTCGTTTAAAGTCTCACTGACTAGTATTCGAATTGCCACACTTAAGCACACGAAATGTGTGTATTGATCTTTATTCAAAGTATTTTGAAATACAACCAAACCTGTGTAAAGCAAAATTTGTCTTAATTCAGTCGCTTTAAATCGATCTACTTGATCCAATGTCCTTGGTTTCCTCGCATACTCATTCGGTACAAAATTTTTTAATCCCAATAAATCTCTAGACGCTATTTTTATATTCTCTTTATTCATGCGTACATTTTTTTTTCTTTTATCCAAAATAATATTTTTTTTTCATGACTCCTAAGCACACAAGGTGCATATAATCAAGGGGAAACTGACTCACCATTCCGACACCTGTTCTCTCTAAAATTGAGGTTTTCTTGTGGTGTTCTTCTTGCGTTTTATTGCGAAATGATTCGTCGGTTCTTAAAGCACTATCAATTTCAGGGAAAGTCATGCGGTTCTGGATATAATCCTCTTCTTGTATACAATTATCGCATCCAAAATACCCGTTATGTCCTACGGTACCTGCGATATATTTTTTTGCTGGCGTGTCGCATACAAAATGACAGACATTGACTTGTACTCGCTTATTTGCAACAAACAGTCCATGTGAGCGAATGTCCACAAGATCATCTACAAAACGCTTCATTAATTCATTGCTATCAGCAGGCTTTTCGAAGCCATGATAAATACCAATTATAAATGGTTCGGTATAAAATTTGGTTTGTAATGCACCTAAAATCAGATATAATTGACTACCGGAACTTTATGTCAAAGGAAGGCCATCGACGTTAATGAAAAGCAGAATTTCAGGTGGCACTTGTTTTAGAGCATAATATTTTTTAATCGATCTTAACAAAGGCGCTTTTAACCCAAAATGGTAGTACTGACCAGGAGACATATTTATTAACTGTACTTTTAGATTATTGATATCTTCTTGACTCTTCTCAAAAATTGTTGAGCTTACTGTAATGCTTTCGGACTGACTACATGTTGCTGTAGGACCGATAACTGATGGCAATGACACAATTTCTAGAGCTGATTCTTTGTAGTACTGAGGGAAAAGTGGTGGAATTTCAGTAGGTTTATTTTTACAACCACTTATAATATTTTTAATTTCTTGCTCGATTAATCGACGTTTTTGGCGATTGCCAATGTAATTTAAATCTTTTTTTATTTTGGGTGGCATATTTGTGCTATATTAATGTATGAATATACTGCACTTATTTTGAGTTAATATATAATAACACAATATATAATAACACTTGATGTCACATTATATTTTATAGTAAATAATAAAACTTGATGTATTAGGTTAAACGGCAACTATATTCAATGATGCAGGTGACGGTTTCATATAACAAATTATTTTAATTGCGATTAACTAATTCAAAATGAACAGAACAAAATACCCTGAAGTTTAATAACAAAAATAATAGTTTGAAAATTTTATAACACTTAAAATGCGGTTATATAAAACTATCCGTTTTGGGAGATACTCCATAAATAGACGACAAAGAAATTCCAGGCTTTCCCAATTATGTGATTACGTTACATCACGTGGATGTTTAAAATATTATATAATCGTTACAGAGAATATAGAATGTGTATTATGTAGCCATGATGCTACATTGTTATAAACCCCATATTAAAGCAGTTCTATAACAGTTATGATATTTACAAGAATGAGAATGAAATATATTTACAAGAATATGAATTGTACAGCAATAGAGCATTCGTTATGTAAATGTTACATATACCTGTTTCAGCTTTAAAACATCATAAAGTTACATACGAAATGAGTAACAAGTACATCACAATGTTTATATTATATCATAATTACGTAAACAATGTCACATACAGTGTACATCACAGGTTTACATAGCAGTGATATACATAATCTTTTAATGTTGACTGGGTTGAAAAACACAAATTGTTTTATTAATGCTTAATTCTATAGATTTATATATACATTCTGTAGACAAGATATAATTTAAATAAAATTTTACAAATTTATTTAAAATTGGCAAACAACATGCGTGTGACGTATTTTTTAATCCTTTCTAAAATATTTGAAAGAAACAGCTCTAATTTATTTCGAACACATTTTTATATAGCTATCCACATTGCTTACTAAAAAGACTATCTAATAAAACTGTTTTTAAACTATAGAGCAATACGATATGAATATAATGTTAAGTATAAGAAGCGTTATATTTATTTTAATGACCTTTATAATTTACCTTTATAATTAAATAAATAATCTATTTTGTTAATTTAGTAGTAAAATTCTCGCATGTAAAATAGTAGAAAAATGGGCTTTAGGTTTTTACATTTTATGTGTAATATAGCCTTTAGGTTTTTTACATTTGCTAGCATTTATTAATACAATAAGACGAGCTGTGTTACTACGCAATAGTAATTATTTAAAACAGACGCCTAGTTGTTACCCTCGACAACGGTCTGCGGATTCGCGGACACATGCTGCGTCACATTTTACAAGCTTGTGATTGGTGGAACCGTTAGCGTTGTCGAGCGGCATTTTTAACAATTGTCGCGCTTTGAATCATTCTGATTGCAATAGCGAGAGCTGTAAGACAAAAATTTTATCTTGGTCTGTTAGTATTGTGTGTGTTAAAAATTTTAAAATTGAAAAATTTTTCAGAATTTTTATTCGGTGAGACGGAATATTTGGACTACAGCAAGGGATATTATATAATCTTCATCGGTGAGAAAATAGCTATTTGGGCAACAGCGAGGAATAACATCAGATAAATATAAAACCTTATTTACTGAAACGCTCCGTTTCGCGAAAAAGGTGGCATCAATTAAGTGATAGACAACAAAGAAGAATTAGATCCGAAATAAAAACTAACTTGCAAAGTCAAAGTTATATAAAGAATACTTTAAGAGAATTAGATAATATTAATACTGAAGATACGTTGGGCGCGTCACATACAAAACATACTAATTATGTGGAAAGTAATATTTGCGATAGTACGTGTTTTATAAACGTTGAAGATGACAGTATTCTTCTTCATAGTGATATTTTTTCTTCTGATAATACTTTGTCCTCTGTTAGTACTTTTTCGGTTGAGTCATCGTTTCGGGAGAAACTGGCCTCCTGTTTTGTAGAAAATAATTTGACTCATGTGCAAGGTAATAATATTGTATCTCTTCTTAGAACACATTCTTGTTTTCGTAACTTACCGAAAGATGTGAGAACAATTGTAGGTACTCCACGAGATAAAGTTGTCAGATGTAAAGTTGATCCAGGCGAATACATTCATTTTGATATAGGAGCACGCATTTCCCGTAAACTTGAGCGCTTTCCAATACTATCTCTTCCAAGCGAATTAGACATTGACTTTAACACCGACGGATGTAATCTAGACAAATTAGGCAGTATTCATATTTGACCAATTCAGTGTAGACTCGCGAACATTAGGCATTCCAAACCAATAGTGGTAGGGATATACAAAGGCCCTGCAAAACCAAATGACTCTAATGCATTTTTTGACAAAGTTATTGCGGATATAAAAAATATATTGGCTAATGGGAGTATTACTTTTCATAGAAAAAAATTACTTATACGTTTAAGATCCCGAGTAGAAATTTTATTAAGTGTCTGAGCAGGTCCAAATCAGAGTGCCGTAATATATAATCTGGCCCTGGTAAGGTCACCTGATTTGGTTCTGACAAGATGTGTAACGCGTTGCATAGTCAGGACCGGATTTCATTTACCTAATAAGGACCACATTAGCCGGATTCATGTAGGACCTTTTCAGGCATATTATCAGGACAACATCAGGATAAAGAAAAAGAGCCTTAATAGGATTGACATAAGGATGCTGTCAGGCTCTAAAATAAATAACTATAAATTTGAATATTTTTAATATTTTTATTATTTATTTAGAACATTAAGATTTTTAAAGAATTTACAGAATTAGTAAAAAAATAATACTAAGAATTTAATCTTTACATTTTTTAAACATTTTTCAAGAGATAAAAAATGCACGCTTAAAAACAAAATATAAACAAGCTGACATATAAATCCACATAACATAAACATCTGTTCAAATCATAACATCCGTTTATCATTTATAAAAAAAAAAACACAAAATAACAAAAGCGAAATAAAATATTCTTACGTTTAAAAATCTTAATTTTTTTTTAACTATTTCACTATTCTTTATCGTTGCTGTCTTCTTCGCTGAAGCTCTCAATTACTTGATTCATTATTTTATTCTCTTTATCATTATCATGTTTGTTATCCTGTGGCTTTTTTGGATTGAGAATTTTATTTTCTATTGTGTTTTGGTGCCGTATAAAGCGAAATCCGTCCCAGTCTTTTGCAAATTATGAAACAATTAGCAATAATTCCGCCAAATATGAACCAGAGAGTCCAAAATTTGTGAAATAATTTTAATTTTAATAAATTTAAATTTGTTAATATCAGAAATATATAGTTAAATTCAAGTTATTTTAAAATATTACTTATCATTCATACACCAAAAAAAATTCTTACACAGTACCTTTTATTAATTATACATCAAGTATATAAAAAATAAATCTAAATATCGTAATAAAAGAAAAAAAATCGTAGTTTCTACAATGATAATATTAGTCAAATAAAAAAGCCCTAATTGATGCTTTATCATAGACAAATTTACTTTTGAAAATTTTTTGTTAGAAGAAATTGAGAAAAATTGCCATAAGGATTTCATTACTCTGGCATATCAGAGTGACATCTTTCAAATTTATATATTGAAAAAAAAACTCATAAAGATCCTGATTCTTACTTTACCAGATTTTACTGTAAAGATTTTTTAGGGTCAACTTAGAGAAGGTCCTGACTGATGCCGTATTAGATATGCCTTAATTATATATTACATACGAGAGTAAAAAAGATCCTATAAAGGTACTGATCTGGCATGCCGTAGTCAGGCATGCCCTATTTATATCTAATTAGGGCCTTATATGACACAAGGCACGCCTGATCAATTTTCTACTCGGGTATACTGCAACTAAAATTATGCATGGCAAGAAAATAATAAAGGATGAACCATTTTACACATGTATAGAAGGTACATATATATATAAAATTATATAAATAATACTTAAAATAATTCTTAAAATGTAAATGTATATTCGCGGATTTTTAGATATATTTCTTCCAAAAAGAATTTAAAGAAGAAGTTGTATCAAGAAATCATCTTATAAAGGCATTGAGCGCAGCACTTTCTAATGCAAAGGACTGGGAAGGACATAGAAAAGACCGAATCAAATAAATCAAAGATAAATAGTAAAAAATTATAATAATATTTATAATATAATAATATAATATAATAATTTAATAAAAATATTTATAAATATTTTTTGTAAACCTTTATTTTATTATATACTTTTACTTATTACTTGGTGTGTGTATGTATGTGTGTGTCTAATTATAATTAATAAATTTAGATTTTAATGCATTTTATTCCAGTGTTTCACTTTTACGAAAAATATTGTTGAACTGTTCGATTATTACCAAAAAACTATTACAAACTATTAAAAACTAATAGCGTTTAATAGTTTTTTCGTTAATAATCGAATAGTTTAAAAGTATTATATTTTTTCGTAAAAGTAAAACACTGACATAAAATGCATTAAAATCTAAATTTATTATATATAATTACACACACACACACACACATACACACGAGCGCGCGCCTATGCCACGTTGCCAGCACCATGCTTGCATTATGTATCTTATTAGAGCCATGCTAGCGCCATGCTAGCATTACGCAAAATCCATTACAAAATTGTGGCGCCAGCGGGCAAAACGTGACGATTTTATGGATGGTGCTTACTAGCATGTCATGTCAGTTCCTGAAATGGCAGTATGGCACGCTGATCAGTGCCATGCAAGAGCCTGATTAAAATTTCTACCAGGGTTGCTATAATATTTAAAAATAATAAAAAAAAAGATTCAAATTATTATTTGCAAAAGTGTCATTTATATTTATATGTCACTTATGTAAACGATAAACAGTGTTTAATAATTTTACTATCTTGTTTCTAACACAATTTACATACACAGCTAAATTAAACCTAGCCACTTCATAAACAAACGAATGCACTTATATGTGCAAAAATTGTCAGAAACAATTCATGTATTATAATTTTTACGCATATTATACACATTATAATGCAGAATGCTAGAAAGAAAAAATGCATCTTTAAAACAGTTCCTACGATTTTTCAATTATTCGAGACTTATATGAAACAAAATATAATTTTAAAACTTTGCGTATTCACAATCAATATTACTATAAAAATCTAAACCAAAAGTTATAAAATTAAAAAACGACTAATATAGATCCAAAGAGATTCTTTGTTACATTATACAATTCAAAAATATTATAAGACATAGAATATTAAGAAATATTAAGTATTTTATGATGACGATATTCATGTTTTTTATATTTAATAATATCTTTCGTAAAATAAAAGGTCTCAAAAATCGGGCTACGCATGTAACAAATACCTGAAAGACACGATAAACGGCACTCTATAATACGCTCGGAATTGGCAATATAAAAATAACGCTGAAAAAGAATTAGAATTTAAATGGCTCGGTTTTTCTGATGACCTACTTATTTCTTGAAAGCGAGCTTCGCTAATTTCCTGGAAAACGGTCTAGACGGTATTATCTATGCTATTACGTGTGTCAATGTTTACATCGCGGCTCGGCCGCGAACAAGCGACGTGTAGAAAAAAACTCTACAGCTGAGCGCTGCGGCACGCGCCAACACAGTAAGCGGTATCGTGTATATATGCGATGGCACACAGATTCCAGAGTCCTTTTTTAATAGGACTTAAAATCTATTTATCGCAACTTGCTTGCGTAGGACAACATAGATATTGAGGACGATACATTGGCCGTATTCACAGATGAAAGAACATTAACTGTAATAAGTGGATTAGTACAATGACAAAGACACAGCCATAATTATTTAATTATACTAAGCTTTGCTCTCTCACTCTCCAGATTTTATTTTCATTAGTTATCACTGATTTTTCACGGCGTGGGCCCCACGTTGGGCGCCAATATTTGCGACATGAACTAGCTTCGGGCACGCCACGTCCGAGGGAACACGCCCAATGTAAACGGTAACCCGCGGTACTCCACGTAATTCGGGAGCTAGGTAACTTGCGCGATATCGGCAATAAATGCACGATTCAGTAACCAGGACGGTAACAGCGGTAACACTGGTAACTGGAGCGGTAACAGCGGTAACTTAAAAATCGGTATCCGAAAATGGGCGCCAGGTGCGTGTAATTGCACCGCGGTAACGGTAACTCCAATAAATTACTTAATATGTCCGGCCGCTTCTTGCTCAGTATATGGCAGAGGGGCGCAGTTCTTTTATTTTCGTTGAGGATCCGGAGTGAGAAGCGAGCACAAGAACAATTCAATATTGCACATTTAACAATAATTTATTATGATAATGTCAGTTTGAACAAGGTTAAAAATGAGCTATTAGTAGTGCGACGATCGGACTATTATTCGGTGTAGCCAGTATATCGGCAGCGATTCATTAAGTACGGTAGCTAGAAAATCCGCCTGTAAGATCGGTAACATATAATAAATTCGGCAACAGTAGCGAAATCAGAAAACGAAATTACAGAGAATGGCAATCGACTCGATAATACTTTACAAGATCGACACCAGTTATGTCGACGAAACGAACAAGACCGGTGAAAATCAAATAAACAGAGTTTGAAACGAACGGTTATCTAATTACAAAAACGATGTGTCGTGAAGCGGTAATTTTCATGATTACCTTCGTTTCTCGCGGAGACGCTATAATGACGGTATCTGCTGTCTCGCTGAGAGCATTCACACGTAAATTCCGTTCGCTGACATTCAATAATCAAAACTTTATTTCTAACAAAAGACTTTACGATACCCACGCTGCGGGACGGTACTCATAAGCGAGACGATATTCTCACGTAAAAGACAATACGAAAACGGTAACGAAAAAACGGCAGCTAAACGAGAGAGACTGTGGATAGCTAGTTCCCGAGAGAGAGACTTTAACACGGTATCCGAAGCCGACTGGATATGGGGTAACACGGTAACTGAGCGCGCCAAAGAAATGTGCTCACGGTAACAAATGCGGTATTAAAATTAGTCCTGAGTGAGACACAGTGTACATAAAAATTGACTCACGCTACCAGCCATCACCGGACGTTATCTTACGGCTACCCGAGAGGCGGCTTACAATGAGTTTGGTCCTTCGGCGATGTCGGGACGAGCTCCGGAATTGGTTCTCACTTGGTCACTGCACACCGAACAGTAGTTCTTCCAAATTCGTGCCGTTGATCCTTCGGCCCCGCGCCGCTCTTCCGCGCATCTTGCCGATTTTCTGCGAGAGGGGCTTCTGAGAACCGCCCATAGTTAATACAGAGCGCCCCTGCTTCCTGTTAATTTCGAGAACTCGTTGGCTCGCCGGTCGATATTAAATCGGTAGAGTCTGATATGTTTGGAGGGAAGCTTGACAGGCTGGCCGGGCCTTACTCAAACCGCTCCGTTCTTTCTGACGGCGTTAAATCCGGGATCTTTTGCACCTTCTGCAGCAGGGCGAGGTCCTCTGATGCGTTTCCGTTTACGTCTCTTTGGCGTTGCTGTTGGAAGCAAGGCATTGTTAGAAAACAGGTTTTAGATGGCGAAAGCAACGGGGGTGCGATACGTGTACCTTTTTTTCGGCTTTGTCACCGGCATGTGACTCCTTCGGTGATTCCCCGGCGTCCGGTCTTCTCTGCGATGCTGAGGTCTTCGCTCATAGCACAGTGCGCGCAACTACCGTCCGCTCGGGTTATTGCCTTAGAATCTCTAATGAAATCCTTAACTAACACAACATGCATGTCTTAACGACGTTCTGTAGTCGTCTTTTTCATTACGTCTTTGAGACATTACCTAAAGACGATGTACAGACGTATGACGGATCTTTTGTAAGACGTCACTAAAAGGACTCATAAAGTCGTTTGCTATGGTAATTCTGTGAGAGATGCAAAATTTACAATTTCATTTATTTATGCCTAATTTAGACCGGTGAATGATCTTACTTGTGGAGTGGATAGTTTGACCCAAATAATTTTTTATAATTAATAAAAAATTAACCACAAGTAAAATCATCCTCCGGTCTAGACAGGGCATTAATTGTAGAGTGCTTCAATAAAATATTGTACGAAGGGCTTCAAGGAATCCAAGTTGATGAGGCGATGGACTGTCAGGTAATAGTAATAAAGTAATATAAGGTAGTTTGAAATTGTAGTTTATATTCTATAATAATAATTTTTTAACCTATATATGTTTCTTATGCTCTTTGACGTTTTTAAATTAGATTAACCACTTTACTCAACCGGATCAAAAATAACATTCTTAATCCAAGATAATCATTGTTTTTTTAATTTAGTATTATTTTAATATATAAAATATATAAAATTATAAATAAGGGTAAATTAAAATTATAATTTATGCTCTATAATAGTAATAATAATTTAGTAACGTATAATTTTATTGCAGTATGCTTGAATTGAGTGAGCTAAATATTATGAATATGCTAGCAGTGTGGCAGCAAAAACGCAGCGAACGAGCAAAAACAAAATCGAGCATGATTTATTGTCACGATTTGAAAAAATTGTTTGTCTCCTTATGTTGGTTTGATTGATTTAATTCAGTGCTCGGAATTAGTTGAACATTTCAGCCGATTTCTGCGGTATACGCCTCCTTTTCTTTCCTTACCGCGCGCGCCGCAACCGCTTGGGCCAGCGCCGCCGAGCGTTAGGAGCGGCACTATCTGATTAGGTTCTGTGACTAGGTTCTTCTCCTTATTTATTAAAATTTTAAAAATTTATTAAAATTTATTAAAAATAAATTTTTATTTTTAAATTTATTAAGTGGAAATATTTCAATAGATTTCTACGTCACCCATGAGGTACTAATGCTGACACGTTTTTTAAAAAGTGGTTTCTATCTACATTGTTGCATCAATTGTTCATTCTCACATAAAAGGCCAAGAAAATCTAATTAAAAAAATCTTTTTATATATATTATTTTTTTTTTAAATTAAGTAATTTATTTTTTTCTTTAGTTGGAATTGGCCTTACGGGGGAAACCACTTAAAAAAAAACGCGTCAGCATTAGTATCTCATGGGTGACGTGGAAATCTATTGAAATATTTCCACTTAATAAATTTAAAAATAAAAATTATTTTAATAATTTTTTAATTTTTAATAAATAGGGAGAAGAACCCACTCATAATCAGATAGTGTCGCTCCTAA